TGTGAGCCTCATGACGATCGAACCATGAACCACCATGTTTATACCGTTTCATGACATCTTTGCCATATCTCACAATACAGCGTGAATCAGCCAAAAATAATACTTCCATTGAGTTTGCAAGGCCTAATTTAGAGGGGGTAGGGTCCCTGGGAATCAGTAACATCCATTATTTTGCAGGTTGAAAAAATATAGTCACCGGAGCTAGGGCTTCGGCGCCTCTCCGGTCCATGCCATAATGTTTATTTTATGTTTAATTTGTTTCGTTTATATCACCGGATGTACAGCCACCCCAGTGGCAAGGACACGTGCGTTAAAGCATTACTATACAAGGGCGTGGGTTTGATCCCTGCCTTTTGGGATTTTATTTCATATTTTCATGTTCTATTGCAGGTTTAACAAGTAGTGCGTTTGTTCCTGTTCTACTCACATGAATGCTCGCCTGACGCCGTGGCAAGCCTTGTTGGTGGGAAGGCTAAGGGAGTGGGTTCAACACCCACCCCTGGCATATTTGTTTTGTTTATAACTTGCTTTTTTCCTTAATTTCTCCCTTAAATCCTAATTTTACCTAACCATAAAACAAAACCTTTTCTTTCACAAACCCTAATTAAATTAGGTTCTAGGTTTTTTAATCAATTTTTAAATTAATCCTTTTTTACTAACCAAAATTAATTAAATTTTTTTAGGTTTTTTTTATTAACCCTTTAATTTAATCAATCAACCTTTTTTGCAATTTTAAAATCAACTATTTTTTTTAGTTTAATTAATTAATCATCATCCAAATTTCTTTTCATGAAAAACATCAAAAAACATTTCTTTTTCCTTCAACCTTAATTTTACATTTTTAGATTGACTGTATAGGTCTCGCAAATGTAATCTTTATTGTCGCTTTCTTTTGTTTCATTATTATGTAACTACTCCTGGGTGTAATAACTTAAGATTTCTTTTCCACACTCTTTATTATGTATCTGCCCCAAAGCGATGTAATAGTTTAGGTTTATATTTTCTGCCTTTTCCGCACTTTATTATATTTCATGCTACTGCTTAATAATTAGGGTTTGTATGGAAAGATAAAAAAACAAACGGTAGCAAAACCCTAAATCCAAAGATAAAATAATTGAATTGAATACATTTTCACACTCACACCTCTAGGGTAACCTCCCTTGTTGCCTTCGGAATAAAAACAGTCACGTCCCTCGAAAGTGGGGACGCTTTAGCAAAGTCCCTCGAGTCAAAGATCATAGTCCCTCGATGATCCTTCGACGTTGCCTTTCGATAAATGATCTAGTCCCTTACGATAATTGCTAATGTGTCCTTACCAGTTGCCTTCAATGATTATACGATGACCCTACGCCTGTCCCTTCACATCCAACGATAGGACTTCTTACTAACTAATGGTACGGATAACACTATCTAAAGGAGAAGGAAAAGTACAAGAACGGTCTTGAGTGGGTAGATACTTTTAATCGCTCACTCAAAAAAACAAAACATTTCACAAACACTTTTAAAATATTTTCAAAAACACTTTGTACGTATTCTTGAGGATTGATACAAGAATCATTACAAAGTCTGTCTCACTATGACATTTTTTCAAAATATTTTCAAACACACACACAAAAAGTAAATTTCAAAAGTGAGCTAGTGATTAAGAGCCCGTAGATAACTATAGATGAAAATGGTGCTAACACCTTCCCTTTTCATAACCTACCCCCCAAACTCAAAATCTTCAAGATTTGTCCTGTTCTTTTCACCCTTTCTTTATTGGATAAAAGAAAAGTCGGTGGCGACTCTAACTATCCGCAACATTTACGATAAAATTCAAAAACAAGTCAGTGTTTCCACCGTATCACAGCAGATCACACCGCAGACCAATTTGTGTCTAATATCTGACAGACATGCATAGTGTTTTCATCAATATTTTAGCAATGTAATATCATGTCTTTCTACTTCATCTTTCATTTCAGTTTTAAAAAACAACATCCGGGTTGAACAACAATAGAAAACAACAACTTCATAAGGATAGAAAACAATCGGAAAATAACAACATGATAAACAAATAAAACGACTCAAGACATCAATATATCTAGGAGATTACAACCCATCAAGATAATATCATCGTCATTTTCACAGTTATCCAGGAATGAGTTACTCCATTTGGGCCAGACACCATAATTTACCTCTCAATTTTCCGGATTTATTCAGCGTCAGGAAGGTCTCCTTCTAATCACTTGTTCAATTCCCTTTGAAAATGCTCGAAGGTCTGCATATTTTAGGTATTATCTTTATCGAAGACCTTGTTGTTGAAAAAAGTTGAGCATCTCTTTTCATAAATGGAAACGTTGGAAGCGGTGGAAATGAAGATGATGAAGACTTGCTATTTAAGAATGCATACATATTTTACAGTGACTTGAAGATATTGGTGGTAATTGATGTGGTAACAAATGAGCAAATAATCTTATTTATAAAAAATGAAAAATTAATAAAATATTGATATGAGCGCCCAGTGAATGGCCAAACATAATTAAAAAAACATGACAACCTGAAACACGTTTTTTGGCATTTTGATATTTTGGTTTCAACTACTCAACCAATAAATGGCCGAACATCTACGTAAAAATAATAAAATAATATAAAATAAAATTTATAAACAATAATATAAAAAAATTATTAACTTAAAATATTAATTAAATAATTGTTAAAATAATATTAATCTTTTTTTAAATCTAAAAACTTATTTTAATTATATTATATTAATTAATATATAAATTAAAACATTTAAATAATAAAAAAACAAAAACAAAAATCAGCCTCTTCATTGGATCGTCCAATCAAACGAAAAAAAAAACCTTAAAAAAGAATCGTCCTTTGATTGGATAAAAGAAAAGTCGATGGCGACTCTAACTATCTGCAACATTTGCGATAAAATTCAAAAACAAGTCAGTGCTCCCACCGTATCACAGCAGGTCACACCACAGACCAATTTGTGTCTAATATCTGACAGACATGCATAGTGTTTTCATCAATATGTTAGCAATGTAATATCATGTCTTTCTACTTCATCTTTCATTTCAGTTTTAAAAAATAACATCCGGGTTGAACAACAATAGAAAACAACAACTTCATAAGGATAGAAAATAATCGGAAAATAACAACATGATAAACAAATAAAACGACTCAAGACATCAACATATCTAGGAGATTACAACCCATCAAGATAATATCCTTTGGTGTTAGCATCATCGTAAGGATATCATCGTCATTTTCACAATTATCCAGGAATGAGTTACTCCATTTGGGCCAGACACCATAATTTACCTCTTTTCCGGATTTATTCAGTGTCAGGAAGGTCTCCTTCTAACCACTTGTTCAATTCCCTTTGAAAATGCTCGAAGGTCTATTTTAGAGTATTATCTTCATCGAAGACCTTGTTGTTGAAAAAAGTTGAGCATCTCTTTTCATAAATAGAAACGTTGAAAGCGGTGGAAATGAAGATGACGAAGACTTGCTATTTAAGAATGCATACATATTTTACGGTGACTTGAAGATATTGGTGGTAACTGATGTGATAACAAATGAGCAAACAATCTTATTTATAAAAAATGAAAAATTAATAAAATATTAATATGACTGCCCATTGAAAGGCCAAACATAATACAAAAACATGACAACCTGAAACACGTTTTTTGACATTTTGATATTTTGGTTTCAACTACTCAACCAATAAATGGCCGAACATCTGCGTAAAAATAATAAAATAATATAAAATAAAATTTATAAACAATAATATAAAAAAATTATTAACTTAAAATATTAATTAAATAATTGTTAAAATAATATTAATCTTTTTTTAAATCTAAAAACTTATTTTAATTATATTATATTAATTAATATATAAATTAAAACATTTAAATAAAAAAAAACAAAAACAAAAATCAGCCTCTTCGTTGGATCGTCCAACCAAACGAAAAAACCCCTTAAAAAAGAATCGTCCTTTGATTGGACGAACGATTACTAAAACCATGTTATTCAAACTACGGCATTTGACATATAAATTTTCAAAGAGTGGTAGGGAGAGAAAAAAATCGAAATCACAGAGATTTTGGATATGAAAAAAACAAGGGATGGAGTATTATTATTGTGACAAGTTCTGACAGTCTTATAATGTTGAAACTAATTACTGAATGTTTTCTCACGCCAGAATCTTCCCTTGGATCTTGTCTGCCAAATTCTTCACCGAAGTTGCCGCTCACGCTTCACTGAAATTTCTAATTCATTGGGACTCGCAAATTCTTCATATCACATCCACTGTCCTATCACAGTCATAGGAGCCACCAGTTACTTTCCTTCATTTTATTTTCATACTATACTCTTTTCATTTTCAGTAATGATATTATATTTGGCGACTAATTTTCCACTTTATACAAAACATTTTGTCACCTAGCAAATGGCTCATCGGAATATATCTTGGAAAAACCACCAAGAATATTTCAAATCTGAAAATTCCTGAAATGGGAATTCTATCTGTACAGACTTAGAATACTCAGAGTCAGGTTACACAAACATATCTTTGAAACGTTGCTCTCATTCCTTCAATATTTAAACAAAGAAAATCATAATTTATGCAAATGGCTGAGTCCAATTTCATTGATTTTGGTAGTGGCACACAAACATATCTCAATTTTCATTACTCTATTCAACAACACTATTACATTAAGCCTTTCTTACAACAAAAAAATGTAACATTTTAGTAAACCTAATAAAAGAAGAAATTAAAAGAACAAAACAAGGTAGAAAAAGATATTTGATCCATTTTGAAATGCATCAAATCTCTTAACAACCTAATACTACTTAAAGGGATTGAAAATTGAATTAACTCTAAACCAATATAATTTAGTCAAACATTAGACGAATTTATACGAACCACCTTTAAATTACAGTGTGCAATAGCAATTTCATCTGCACTTCATTCGCAGGCACATTTGGAACCATAAGAGCTTTTGATTCTACATTAGAGGACTATGAAGAAGCCCTTGCCAAGAAGGTGTGGCGAAACCATTATTCCAGCTAGCTCTTGCTTGTTCAACTTCACCCATGTTTGCAATTCCTCCATTCATCTGCCAAGGAAAACCACCAAAAACCCTACTTTCACTTTGTTCTTGCTTCATGTTAATGGCAGCATTGCAATTGCTCATTTCTTGATCATAATTAAAGATCATCTCTTCACTAACCCCACAATTGTTGTTTCCACTATTCACTTCTCCACTGTCACCATTTACATACCCACCACCATACATATTTTGAACATTACTATTATAATGCATTCCATTTCCAAGGAATAACCCACTTCTAATTGCATCCATAAACCCATGATTTATGTTCATCGAATGGTTCATGCTTGATCCATTGTTTCCCAACATTGAAAGCTCATTTTCATCATAACCCACTTGTCCACCACATGATTGTTTCTGAAGCCTAGCCAATGCTAATGCAAACTCGTTAGATTGATCAAAATGTGGTATGTTTGAAAACGGGTTATGATTAGGCGCAAATGCTTGATCTTGAACCCTCTTCGAGGAAGATGATCTCTTGTTCTTTCTACACCCGCCACCAACAGGAACATTCCTCAATGTTCCACCTTTAGTCCAATATCTCCTGCAAGATTTGCAGAAATATCTCGGCTGAGTGAGACTGTAATTGTTGTAGTAACAGAATTTGGTGTTGGTTGAATCGCATCTCGGACATTTCAGAGCTTGTTCTGGCTGAGGTTTTGGTTTGTTTTCTTGCTGTTCTTTTGAACATACCAACATGTTTTCCATTTGCTGCAACAGTGAGTGCAAATCAAAATAATTAAATTCTACTAAAAATTCAAAACATAAAATAAAAAATTATACAAAAAATAAAAGACACATAAACAAGCAAAAGCGCATGCATGTATAATGATGTATCATACCTGAGAAGAAGGATCCATTTGATACAATAAGTAAGAGTGAAAGGATGGTTTGAATACTTGAATTGAAGTGATGAGATATTAAAGAAAGGAGAGGGTATTGAAAGAGTGAAAAATATAAAATGAGGTTGGTAGTGGAGGCACAAGTCTTTGGTAGGTTGGTATATATAACAAAAAAAAATCAAACCTCAAAAAAAAGAATATATATTGGTATTTGCCGTACAATGAGGTTGGGTTGCAGAAAGAGATAACGTTAGAAATGAAAAATTGGGTGTATTTGTGTTGAACGGTTTCATACTAAGCAAGAAAAAACCTGTGGTAATTTGTCTGTATGCTACAGTGATGGTCAGTGGATGTATGGAAAATGTGAGTGGATGTGGGACCTACCTTCGCTGGAGTGTAGGCAGTTGGGTCCCCACAATTCCACTACTTACTGTCTCATCCTCTGAATGTTCATTCGTTCCCTCATTTTATGGACTGGTCACTCATTTTCTTTGCCTCCTCAACTGTGCTTTCTCTTTCACATTTTTTGTTTCTTTCGTTTCTAATTTCATCCGATTCCTTGCTTTCACAATTCTCTCCTAATGCATTGGGAATCTGTTCTTATATTTTGAGGAATTTTTTATTAGGCTGGATAAATTTGATCGATTTATTGTCTTTTTTGAATAAATAAGATTGAATCGGATTGGATGTCAAATTTCGTATTATTTAATTTGAGTATTATAAGGTTAATTCAGTTGAATTCGGATAATTATTTTGGATTCATTGAAAATTGAATCTGACCGAATTTAACAAATATTTATTTATTTTATATTAATTTTATTATTTTAGAGTCGAATCATTATAAAAATATGATTCATGATATTATCAAATTATTACCATTTTTTATAATTTAATTATGACATTGTATATTCATAAAAATATAAGATACATAATTTATAAAAGATGAAACATTATAAAATTTTGATAAATTTTATAAAAAAATTAAAAGATAAATATTTATAAATTTTATAAAAGATGAATAATTTTTATAGATTTATTTCAATAATACTGACCGACCAAACACACTCGATTTACCTGTTAAACCGATTAAATTGAGTTTATCAAAAATTAAAATTTTATCAATCAGAATCAAACCTTAACAATAAAACTACAATTTAAGTTGAATTTAAGTTTTTTGCTCGATTTTAATGCAAACCAACTAATTATCTACCCCTAACTTTTATCATGTTTACTCTTTACATTTTGAAGAAGTTTTGAAATGAATTTGTTTTTATTTAGAATCAAATTAATTTTATTAAAAATTTAATATTATAAAACTAAAAAATATAAATTTTAATAAAATTTAGAAAATCAATATTACCGGTTGATAGTAATAAATTAGTATTAAACAAATAAAAAAAGTAAAAAATTAATTAAATTTATAAATAATTTTAAAATAAATTAAATACAAATGAATATTAATTTATTAGTAATTTTTTTGTATTAATAAAATAATTAAATAATTAAAGAGTTTTAAATAATACACAGATAATGTAAAATAATATTAGATACTACAATCAATCAAAATTTTGAATTTACCATTTTAAATTTATTATATCATATAAATATTTTAAAAGTAAAAACGTGATTTGACGGAACATACGTATATCATTGATTTCCAATTATATATAATTTATTTCGAATCAATTTAAAAATTTGAAACTATTTTAAGGGTATTCATAAAATAACGTTCAAATACATATAGTTTTATTTCTTTAAGATTGATTTCCGTATTTTAGTTGAATTGATTTTTCTTAACTATAAATTGGTTTTATTTTAATACTCTTATCTATCTTATTTAAATATTTTTTTAAAGTTTAATGTAGTGTACTTTCCTGGATATAAAAAAATATTTTAAAATGTTAAATTATATAAATAATTTAAAATTTATATAATAAAATATATATTTATAATTAGTTGACAGCGTAAAAATAATTTATATTATCATACGTCATCCTTTTCTCATTTTTAATTTAATATTTACCATATTAATCTAATTTATTTGATATTATAATATATTAAAAACTAAATTAAATAGCCTTAAAATAATAGTACTACTATTTTGGACATGAGAAAAAACAAAGATTTAATTTAAGGGTGTGTTTGGTTGTGAATTAAAAATGAGAAGAAAGAAAGAAATGATAGAGAGTATGAAAAGAGAGAATGATATAAAAAATAGAATATATTTGATGTATTGTTTAGTATAAGAGAAAGATAATAGAAATAAAAAAGAAAAAAAGTGTTAAATATTTTGAAAGAATTAATATACGTTTAAATTAAAAATTGATTTATTAATTTATAAAATTATACACAATTAAATTTTTAAATATTTAACTCTTTGTTAGTTAATAAAATATAATAATTAATTTTTTTAATATAACTATTAATTATTTTTTCTTTTTATTTTAATTTAAAAAATAAATTAAATATAATAGTCATAAATTTACATGTGACGTTATTTAACTTCAAAAGTGACAAAGACATTAATATAACATGAAGGGTACAATTGAAATAACAGAAGTATAGCATTTCTTTTTGAGCTTTCTTCTCAAGAGAGGAGAGATTGCAATTTATGTGGATCCCACTTCTATTTGATAATATTTCTTTATTTCTTTATTTAACCAAACAAGAGAAACGTAGCAATTTTTCTCTCTAACTTCTCACATAGCAAACAGAGCCTAGGAAGGGAGTAAGATATTACTGTATTTGTAGATAGGCACGATGAAAGGTGGGGTCCAAGTAATGAGCTATAAGAAATTGATTACTAAAATTAGTGTATTTGTCATTTGTTGAATGTTGGATTGATGTAACAGGTAATGATGGTTGGTGACAAGGAAAATGACACCGATGACCGTCAAACAAAAGGATCTTACAATCTTAATCCTGTTCTTTCATTATTTTGCGCATTCATATTCACCTATTCACACATATTAAACCGGTAATACCGTAACCCCAATTAAGTGTTATTTTTGTGCTTTATTATTACATGATGAAACACGTTGTGTTGTGACTCGTACACACCATGACTCATTATTCATTATCATCAAGAATCTATTTTGCTTTACTTGAGTTGGGGTTTTTTGGTCCTTCAATTTGGGTGTTGGTGGTCCCTTTATACCCCAAAACAGATCATGATCAATAATAATTTAACACAGTACACTCATCAGTGACTTGTCTTAACTTACACTTTATTCTATCGATTTCTTAGAGGTTCTTTTCGTTCAAATTTATTCAACAGACATCATTTTCTACTGTACAGTTCATAACAGAACTAATGTCTTTTTTTTTTAAAAATAATATATTATTAAATAGATATATTAAATAAGTATTCTTTTAACATACTCTTTCTAATTTTGAATATAATCTAAGAAAATTGTTGTGTTTGATAAATTTTGGACTAAAGCTTTACTTACATTCAAGCCCGGAAATAAGCTAAGGGATTGTCTACATAAAATTGTCTCTACTCTAGCTAAAAAATTTAAAAATCTCACCAAATGAGTAGTAGATCCCATGCTTTTACTACTAGTCCAGTGGCTTTTATTGGGATTTAGATTGTGTGTAATGTGACTTGTGTAAATTTTTTTGTTACAAGATTAATAGAGAGGAAAAAAACTTAAATCTCAAAAAGCAAGTGTAAGGGGAATCAACTCTAAGGATGTGACTCAATTCTAATGAAGGAGAAATGTAATATTTTATGGTGTTGGAAGAGGTATCAAACTTATACATGAAGTCACCACTAATTGATTATTGATAACACAAAAAATGATTCTCGTATAACATATTTTGTCCTGAATCAAGACAACTATTTGGGGTACTTAATGATAGTAAATTCTTGGAGGCTAATATTGTTAGAAGAGATTGTATAGAAAACTAAATCACTAAAATATATGTTTTTCACAACCTCTCGGTTGTGATAAATGAGTCTGTATAGAAAATTATATTATTAAAATTTATTATAAGATCTATTCTTCGATTTTTTATTTCATAATATTTCAGGTCACTGAGTTAAGAGCATTTAGGATTGAATACAAAGATTTATTGCATTCGATCCAATCAAATATCCTCTCGATTTCAATTCTTCGAAATTCCAAATCTCTAGTTTTACGACTCCAAATGATGGTTGGTTCTAAAGTCACTCGATCCATCGATGCGCGCGAAGCTTCCCCTGATGCTCTAACAATAATCAATCAACCGTCTCTACCTCCTCTACAAGACATCGCAAATCCTGAAGTAGCGATTCCATTGCATCCAGATTTGATCTAGGCGGAGTGCCTCATATTGAACCTCCTATTCCACCTCCAGTCTTGCAACCAGAAGCATTGGCTAGCTTTCAAGTGTTATAAACAAACCTCATTTTACAAGGTGCAAACGAACCGTTGAACAGTATGTACAACCTCGTTCGCACCAAAATTCACACGCATTTGAAGAAAGGTTTCATATTGTTGTCAAGAACTACACTTTTCACAATGCTTCCCCTCACAGAAACATAATCCAAGAGGTTGCGTCAAGAAGGACTCATATTATCATTACAGAGCTGACCAGGGCGAAGAAATGTGAAGCTCCCAGGTCGAGAGATCTACATAGGAGCAGGAACCAGTCGACTTCTCCCTAAAGCTTTAGGAGAGACTGAGGTAGCCACACTCTTCCTCCATCTCAAAGAGAAAATCGACTAATAAAGGTGCAACCGAAGCATTCACTGTTTGTTAGGGTTTTCGAAGCAAGTATCAAAACCCATGGAGATTTCGTCCAAGTTGGGTGAATATGACGGAAAGGGAGACCGACAAACACGTCTAACTCTTCAACGAGTGGCTGGACTACTTCAATCCTGACGAAGCGTCTAATTGTAAGTTATTTTCCCTGATCCTTATTGTACCAGCAGAGCCATGGTTTAATGGTCTACCTGACGAGAACGTTTAGTCATGGACTGATTACTACGACAGGTTCTCCGTGCACTTTATTGCCCAAAAGCCACGACTAGT